CGCGCTTAGGGGGGGGGAACTGCCGCTTCATCATCATATCACGCTCGCTGGCAGCTTGGCTTGGCTTGGCTTTGACTTATTAGCTTGAGGCACAGGCGCTAAAAGGCCAAGACACCAAAATCTATCACCGTTCCCTCAGAGACAAGTACCACTACCGCCGGTAGAGCAATAAATGTCTTTGAAACTACAGAGTAGCGTGGGAGTGGATTCCAATGTCTAATAAAACCCGTCAGTTGCAGAACTGAGTTAGTCCGGTGCAAATCCCGTCTTGGAACGGAGGGTGATGCAAGCACCAGCATCTATCACTCAATATCTCATTAATCACAAGTGACTTCATTGTCTGTCGTCAACAGAGAATGGCCACTCCATGATATCAACCAGTTTGCTACAGTAACAGGAGACAATACGTAGACTAAACCATGATATCAGTTGAAACAACGCCAAAAGAAAAGAAAAAAAGACGCTATTGTCAAGAAATCAAAGTTTAGCTTCAAATCTCAACTCTATTACGCCCGACAATTCCGATCCCAGCTCAACTTCAAGATCTGTTCGTATTGACAGCTCGCGTCTATCTGAGTAGAGTACGATTGAAGCCTGCGGCACACTCACAGGCTGGGTCTATCGTATCTAGCTCAGCCATTTTCCATTCTTATTTTGGCATTCCCAGCCCTAAATGAGGCTCTCCATGACGACCTGGCTTCTTCTTCCATCACACCCTCTCATGTCCTAAACATATCCCCCTTGAGCTTTTGTTATGAGATGGCTTGTGGGAAAGGGGGCAATCTAACTTGGTACTGCAATCTCGTCCTTAATCCTCCTCCTCCTTCTAGACTAACGTTAACTTTACGGTCGGGCTCTTCTCGGACGGTTCCTTTCTTCCCGTCCGCCGAAGCCTCCGAACGAACGGCTGCCATAACGGAAATCCAACCTTAATACGATGGATACGACTACCAACTTCATCTTCATGTTTGTTACACAGCGTCAACAGTCTAAGCCTCTCCCTTTTCCCGATATCAACCGATACCAAGCCCGTTGGGCCGTCAGGTGAGTCCAGCCGTTGATCGGTGAACGTTTCTGTCCTGTATTTCTCGATTGTTCAGTCCATCCATCCATAATTAGCAGGCTGTGGGTTCTCTGTACAATTGTAACCAACACCCATCAACATCCCATCCTTGTGATCGTGGGCCAACTCTTGACGCAAATATCAGCTAACCAAGGTAAGGACCTTGGTGTGACACAAGCAGAGCACGGCGTTGCACACCCCTTCGTTTCCCGTCTTGTCTATTGTCTAGAGTCACTTATGTCTCTCATCAAGGTACGACAATGATCATTGCACAGTAGAACGCACTGCCTCTGCGTAGCCTCAAGGTTCTCTGCATCATCTATAGGCCTGGTCTCATTCCGGCTTTGATTGCCATTGGAAGCTTATCCTTGTTGCCTATCATGCCGTGATCCCCGGCGCTGGACTTTCGTTTCTTCGGTGTTGAAACCGTGGAGGTCCTCACCCTAAACCGACTAAAGTTGTCTACGAGCAACGATAGAGACATGTCTAAGACTCTTGAGCAGAGTTCGGCGTTGAAAATTGTCTCTATCTCGCTGTTACATTCGTTGTACGGGCGCCTGTAAAATAACGTCGTGACGACAAAGGTCTCTGGAGGCCTACGGTTAGGTATACCTGTGCCTCATGCTCTGCGTGTTTGTTCCACGAGTACGAACTTTGGATGTGCACCTGGCCTTACGCAAGAGTCCTTAAGGACAATTTGTAGGTGCCATGGTGCCTCAGTTGAGTATTCAGGCAATCAGATCGAAAGACTGCAGCACGCTGTTGTTGGTTTGTAGTATCATCACGACATCAGCTTTCCTTTATCATTATATGTGAGCACTTCTGGCACAGCTTGTTCTAGTCTTGATGTTACGGCATCGCAGCCTTCTGTTCATCGGCATGAAACTGTTGTGCCCAGTGACATCTTCAAAGTGGACAGCGCCACCTTGATCGATGCGAACCACGATCCCGATGCCTCTTGAGCATGTTTCTCGTGTTCAGATGAGGCATTCACAAAAGAACCCGGGGTTGGCGATGCTCGCTCGTCACAAATCACCGCAATTGTGTATTCATAGGACTGCATGTCCTTGGGCGTAGTCGTAGGTCGGAACTCATGCACTCAAGGACTTGTCAAGATATTCAAGGCCACAGATGTAGGGCGGACCACGATGGCTCGGCATCCCTATGTGTGTCTTGAGGCTCTTTCACTGTGTCCTGTGACTAAATAATGCGATGATACCAGCTGCGAGTCAACATCTGCACATAGCCGCTTCTCGAAGGACACAATATGCAGTTGATGCTATGATTCGTGCGCAACAATAGGCGCAAGGTTGAAAGAGCCAATCCAATCCATTACAAGACTCTGTGGTCTCTTTTCACTATCATAGCTTATCTCAGACCAAATCTTATCCATGGATATTGATGCATCGTAGTGTATTGGTTGGTCGGGGCGTTGTTGGTCCGCATGAATTACAACCGCACCACTCGAATTATTCCCTTTCACAGTCTTACCAACTTCCAGTGAGCAACTCATGAGCCTTCAAACCCCCAGACTGTATGGGAACTGCGGATCATGTTGTCTCATTACACAAGCGAGCATTCCACCATTTTGGGCGGAGGACCTTGAGCATCGGGGATACGGACAGTGAATCCCGCTCGGAAGACACCATGCTTACATGGAGATATGATACATTTCTGAAGAGATTTTTTTGTGAGTTCATGTCTTGGCCCTTGAGAACGCTAGAACTTATACAATTGTTCGGAGAACAGTGATACTCGGTCAGCTAAGGATGCTCAGTTAGGAAAATGAAGATCCTGCTGCTATCGATAGACGAATACATAATCCGAATCACTATTTCTAGATTGAAATCACCTTGTAGATAGCATAGATGTCGCCTAAAGCTTATATATCGAAATGGAAGTCGTTGTCCTTCAAGCTTGAATGCTACTACCTTGTTAAGTGAGGTTCGTTAACATCCAAATATGGCAGGTGCACGGGCCATATGCGGATCTGAGGTGCCCAGACTTTCAGGTACGTACCTCGAGCAAAAATTCAGATCTAGGAAATTTATCAAGCCAAACTTCATCAGCATCAAACTCATCAACCACAACCAAACATTTAATCACTTCCAATCGAAAAAAATGTTTGCTGTTCCAGGATGGTCTGTCTCAGCGGACGGCCTCAAATCCGAAGCCCCCAACCAAAATAATAGCAACAGCGCGCCTGGCAAAAAGTCCAATAAGCGCAAGCGCAACAACAACAACAACGCCACTGAGAATGTCACAGCTTCAACTGTAGCTGATCTTTGGGAGTCCGTGATTGAGGGAAAGAAGACTGAGCAACCCAAGTCTGATAAGGCTGCCAAGAGGCAGAAGAAGCAGAAGAAGTCCAAGGATGGTGAGGATGAGAAGCTGAAGGAGGGCGATGAGACGAAGGAGGATAAGAAGGAGGGTGATGATGATGAGCAGCCCAAACCTAAGAAGGAGAAGAAGGACAAAAAGCAGAAGCAAAAGCAAAAGCAAAAGGCTACCGAAGACTCAACAGAAACCACCACTTCACCAGCAAAGGCTGTCGTCGCAAAGACAGCACCTCTGCCTCCTGCTCCTCCCAAACTCACTCCCCTTCAAGCTTCTATGAGAGAGAAGCTCATCTCAGCACGATTCCGCCACCTCAATGAGACACTCTACACCCGTCCCTCCGAAGAGGCTTTCAGTCTCTTCGATGAGTCCCCCGAGATGTTTGACGAGTACCATGAAGGTTTCCGTCGTCAGGTCAAGGTCTGGCCTGAGAACCCCGTCGACAGCTTCCTCAAGGATATCCGCGCACGCGGCAAGGTCCGCCAACAAGGCAAAGGTAGACCTGGGGCTCCTCCTACGCCTTTGGCCAAGACACCGCTACCTCGCACACAACAAGAGTGTACCATCGCTGATCTTGGCTGTGGTGATGCTCGTCTTGCAGAGGCACTCCAGTTGGATGGCAAGAAACTCAAGGTCAATGTCAAAAGCTACGACCTCCAGAGCCCAAGTCCTTTAGTCACTAAGGCTGATATCGCCAACCTTCCTCTTGCTGATGGATCCGTCAACGTCGCTGTCTTTTGTCTGGCCCTCATGGGCACCAACTGGGTTGATTTTATCGAGGAGGCCTATCGCATTCTCCACTGGAAGGGTGAGCTCTGGGTTGCTGAGATCAAGAGCCGTTTTGGTCCTATCCGAAACAAGAACGCTCCTGTGACACACAGTGTTGGCAACCGCAAGAAGAACGCAGTGGCCGGTAAGAAAGGCAAGAAGGGTGCTGATAACGATGCCGAGCATGATGAAGATCTGGCCGTAGAGGTCGACGGTATGGATGATCGCCGCCGTGAGACAGATGTTTCAGCGTTCGTCGAGGTGCTCAGGTCACGCGGTTTTGTTCTTCAGGGAGATCGAGAGGCCATCGATCTGTCCAACAAGATGTTCGTCAAGATGCACTTTATCAAAGGAGCATCGCCCACAAAGGGAAAGCATGTCAAGGAGCAGGAGGCCCCCAAGGGTAAGAGGGGCATTATTCGCAGGATAGATCCCATCGATGAGCAGCCTGAAGTTAACGAGGCTTCTGTCCTGAAGCCTTGCGTCTACAAGATCCGGTAAAGACAACCAGCAAAGAGAGAGGGGAGGGTCTTTATAGATTAAGTTAGTTCCTGCGACGAACAATACCCGCACCAAAAGCTAATGAGCAATTTGTACTTCATAACTACGTTTAAACCGTATATCTTGAATACTCCTAAGCATCATGCCGCGTTGTAGCGAAATGGTCATGCCTGTTCCCTAACCATCCTATCCCATTTGTAGACAATGAAATCTTTCTATCCGCCCGCTAAAACACGGGAGAGTTGGATACTCATCTATCATTATGATCCTCCATGTTATTCGTTTTTTGTCTTTTCCTGTTACCATCCAGTGTGAGGTAGTGTTCTCGCCACTAGAAGAAAATCAACCCAGCAGCAACATCCGGGTCGCCCTCTGCGGCCTGGAGGGCCTGAATAGCTTGCTCACGAGTGGCACCCATCGAGATAAGACTCTCAATCGCTTGTGGCGAGATGTTTGTTGTTGTCTGAGCAGGCTGTGCAGCAGGAGGCGCTTGGGGTGCGGAGGGGGCGGGAGCTGCAGCTGCAGCAGGGGATGGTGCAGGCTGAGCGGCTTGCGGTCTGGCAGGGATCTGCTGTTGGTGCTGGCCAGGAGGCACAACGGCTCCGGTACGTTGTCCGATTGCTGTGCCATCGGGACCGGGCAGAGTTGGCTCTTGTGCAGCCGCCTCCTCTTCCGCCTTGGGGATCTCAGCTTCTCCCAAAAAGGGAATCATTTCACCTTGGATAATGAGCTTGTCTCTAGCCAGGTCAATAGTGGCTTGGTGTCGTTTCAACATGTCGAGGCCAAGCAAAAGGTCAACTGATCGGCCCTCCATGACAGTAAAGCTGCAGGGGAGGAATAGATTTCCAATTTTGATCTGTGCGGAATGAACACGGCCAATAATTCTTGCTGTCCCGACACCGTGAGCTACACCCGCAAATCGAGTATCGATCAGTCTCATTATGCCACAGGCCTCAGCACAAGAGGGAGACATGATGGTGGCCTGAGCACCGGAGTCAACAAACGCCTTGACTGGGTGGCCGTTTACCTCTACATCGACGTAGAGCATGTGAACTCTTCCGAAAACTAGGTTCAAATGATGTCAATATTACAGTCCACAGCTGGTATTTCAAGAACTCACCTTCAGGGTTGTGTTCCATAGCATTTTGCAAGTTCTCCATGACTCGCTCCTGTCGAATCATCTCCTCAATCTTTCTCTGGTTCTCAACGTTGAAAGGGTCATCGTTCAGTCTCTCGATCTCACGTTGTCGTTCCTGGCGTTCACGTTGCTCTCGATTCTGACTGTCATGGAAGATTTGTGCAAAGCGGGCAGGGTTGTCAACTGCTGCAGCAAGTTCTGGGTGTTGTGACTGGAGCTGTTGTCTCAGAGCAGGCTGGCCAAGAATCTGAAGGCGGATGAGCTCAGGGTCCTGTTCGTTCTGAGCTGGTCTCCTAGGCTGAGGGCGTCGAGCTTGTTCGGGTACACCAGTGCTTCCTCGCATGTCTCTGACGTGTACAGCCAACATTTCTCCATCCACAATCTGCAGTTGCTCCATGGTCTGGGTATCATCCGAAATTAGGCGACCGTTGTGGTAGATGTGCTGCGAGGTTGGAGGAACATTCGATTCTGCCTGAATGGACTCGCGAAGGGTAGCGAGTGTCATGTCGGGAAAGATCTCGAGGGTGAGCAGGCTATCCTGCTCCCCAGCCTGGGGGTTGAATATGTTAAGGGTGATGCGCCTGTTGTGGTTAGCATCCAATAGCCAAAGATGACGTAAATATGTCTAGGGCCTGGACTAACATTGTGGTGTATGTTGTTGTTCGTCTGATATTTTTCGTGAGTGTGTTTGAAGTGTCCAAGTTTAGGTCAGAGAGGACGAAAGAAAGTCGTCGAGGGCTCTCGAGAAAGTGGCTGGTCGTGAGAAGAGAGGAGTAGGCGTGGCCACGAGGGTGGCTAAGAAAAGAAAGCCCGGACAACTACCTAGGTAGCTACTATACCTAAGCACAAGACTGTAACAGCTCCTGAGGTAAGGTACCCACTGGGGGTCTTCAAAAATAGGAGCCCAAAGGGCCTGAGAAAAGTATGTTGACGTGGTAAGCGATTAGTTGAAGAAGAGTGAAGTAAAATTTTAGTACACAAGGTTGGTTGGTGTAAAAAAACGATCGGAGAGGAAAGAACAGATGAAGATGGAGATAGATGCAGGTGCAGGCTGGTGCAGGCAGTTGCACATAAAGTTCTCAGCAAGCTACTGGCTAACGTTGGAGCTATTGGAGGGGCCGTTTCCGCTGCCGCTTTAGTAGGTAGGTTCCGCCAGAGGGGTTAGTAGTTATGCCGCTTGATAGTAGGTAGGTACTTAATAAAGAGCAATTGTAGCTCTGATCACTCAGCTTCGCTTCTAACACTGGTTTCATATGTTGTCATGAGAACAAGGTGTTTTTTTATAGCTTACCCCAATTGAGGAAGAATATAGGGTAATGGTACAGTTGCTTTGCGGTTCATCGTACCTGTACGGAGTAACAGTACCAGTCAATGACTTACATCATATGGCACCCCCTCCATTCTGCCCTACCGTAGCTCGGGCCAAGAAGGCCGTCAGCCAACCAAGTTCCATATAATAAGAGCAATCTTGTCATGGATATTCAAGTTTCACTTACAGTTACCGCAAAAAAAACCCATCTCAATCCTTCTGGTCAGATATTTCCTGTTTTCGCAGTCAGCGGGCTTGCATTGTATCCCTCATGTACCGCTAGGCACAGCTGCACATACGCACGCACACTCACAATCAAGGACCACGCAACTGCTGGAAGCCGACGGAAGCCTATGGATGCTGACTACAGTTCGGTTCGGACATGAATGCACCAGGCGCCATTGACGATGACGAATGAGTGCTCTTCATGCAGCCAGGTAAGGGGACAGAGCGCTCTATAGGTCATGGAGTCGTGGCCATGGAAGGGGACGCAATAAAATATGGCACATCTATTCCCAGGTGACAAAAAGACTTATTCAGGGTTCGTGTATATATACGGACGGCCTTGGACTAATCCATTTTGGCACCTCATTCAAGGTCTGCAGCTTTCTTGCTCCCTGAGAGTGACATGTCCTTCCAGATGCTACTGTATGTACAGCACTACGCCCAGGCTCCTTATCCTCGCAGATCCAGCATTGGTTACCAGATCGGGCGAAATGCAACGATTTTGTTCCAAAGGAAGCATCGTGCATAGACCCCTTGGTCTACATACATACATAACTAAATCCCAACCGCTCCTGTGATATCGAAGGCCTCACTGGGGAGAGAACGTGGGATAGTTATGCTTTCGCGATTTCGTGGCATACCAGGATAAAGGAACCCGGGATTGCATGCGGCTGCTGCCGTTTCAGGGACCCCCCAACTACTGATCGTCTTGGTCAAAGCAACAGGGAGGTCGTCCCCGGGAGGCACAGAATGATCTCCTGCAGGACCGCCACCTGGAGGCACAGAAAGGCACCCTTGGTTTGAGCGTGCATGCTATAGGTAGGCTTGCTGCTCCGGTGTCCCGTTGCCTGGGCCAAGCAAGCTTCTTCACTGTTAGGGCTGCTAGTAAGGTTTCATCATGGATATTGTGAACTAGTTGATTGACGTTGAGGTGAAGTTGGTGACTTTATTTATTATCTCCCAGTCGGAACCTGTGACAGTCACCGTGTAAGATTTCATACGAGGTACAGTATTCTCAGCCGCCATGTTTCTGTACTCTTGTTACCTGACCATCGTTAAAATTCCGAATTAACACAATATTAATGCTTATCAGCTTAGATAAGGCTGTTAAGTTTAACAACAACCTTGTCCACCCATTGACATTGACTAATTGTCAAATGTTGGTCTTCGTACTCGATTACCCTAGACATCTAATACGGCTTCTCCTTACCATCACCACAAAAATAAGTTCCTTCTTAATATTTAATGGCCTGGTAGCTGCTTGGCCCATTTTCACCTGCAATTTGCCGTGACTTCCTATTCTGTTTGTTCTCCTTTGTTGAGGTCACGCGACTTTTGATATGTCATGTGCCAGACCCAAGCTTCCACTGGCGATGGAGACGGAACAAGCTCTCCCCGCTCATGAACCCATCGGGACGAGAATGGTAAAGTTGGAGAAAAAAGACAGTATTTCAAGGTTGGTTCAACACCATTTTCACAACCTGTGACATCGTTAACAGTTGCACAGCACTCTCACAAGCACTGGAGCCAACTGTCACAACGCCCTGAAGCCATTGTCACCTATACCCACCGATTGAAACTGGCCCCATCCCGGCGCCGGCCTCACTGCATCATCCGATCGCTCGGCATTCGTGGGTCCACCAGAAGTTGAATGGGCAAACAGGATAACTAAACCCGTCGTCCCATGACGTTTCATTCACTGTCTAACGAGTCTGAGTCTCTCTGTGTGATTCAGTCATCAAAAACTCACCCGATTCTGAGCCAAACGAGGTACAAACCTCCTCAACGCTTCACACCTCAAGACGCCTGTGCCTCATACCAACGTTCAATGTACACGGGTGAGCTTTAATTCCTCTCGTCGCATCATAATCATATCATCAAGAGACAACATCAAATTTGCAATATAATCTCAACACAAGCACAATCGACGAAATAGAAAGATCTTCTGCGATAGCTCTCACTACTCGAAAAGGACCCATAAATCTCACCTACAGGTCTATTCTGACGACCAACTTAAACTGAGGTAGTACCTCTAGTAACCATCACCGGCTCAAGACCCTTTCAGGGCTCAACCTTCAACGTGGCAACCGAAACCCAAACCCTCATGGGAAGCATGGAAAAGAAGAAGAACAATGAATTCGCTTCTGCCGCCAGAGATATGATCTTCTCTGGCGGCGTGTTCGAAAGCCTGGAGAACGATGACTCTGACGGCGCCATCGACGACGGAGACGCAGATGAGGACATGGTCAATTCGAAAAGGAACTTCTGTCAAATGAGAATCCAGAAAAGGAACTCAGAAGCTGGCCTTCTGAAGAAGGTCATTCCCTTTCACTGGGCTCCTATGCTCTCACCCCTGACCGAGAACGATATCGACACATGCGTTACTCTTGAAAATGTCGCACTTTCAGAAGCGAAGTATAGATCAACACGTGAAAAGGTAAGCCATGTTATATGGGTACTAATTCGTTGTTTGGAGGGCAATGGGACCACCAGCTCAGGTCAGATTCACTAATTAGCAAAACAGATCGAATACCGTATTCGGAAATCAGGAGTCTGCTACGGCCTATTCAATACCGTGAGGCCAAGCGATGTTAAGAAGATCTCTCTCACAACCATGCAACACAGTCGGCCAGTCGAGTCAGGACGATGCGATGGAGCCAAACATGTCATGTTTGCGCACGTCCTTGCAACACTTGGAACCCACCCAGTCGTAACTGATGCCGATATGGCCATGCCCGAGAACTGGAGAGACTCGAAAGCAAGCAAAGGCTCACCTCTGGGCCATCAATCTTCAGGGAGAACAATTTGTCTCCATTCCTTCATCGTGTGCCCAGAGGTCCAGGGGGTTGGCATCGGGAAAACAGTGATGAAGTCATATCTGGAGCTTATGAATGTATCTGGGATGGCTGATCGAGTTGCCATAATTTGCCAACCGGTAAGCAACCATAGTTGTCACATGAAATCTGCGTCGAGCTAATATGCCTAAGTACGCGATCCAATTCTACAAGTGCTTTGGATTCAAAGACCTTGGTCCAAGCACAGAAGCCCTTGCTGGTCAAGGCTGGCATGCCATGGTAAGTAAGCTCTATTACATAAACTGAAAGTCACTGACATAAGACCAGGTGCTTGAACTCCATGGTCCCAAGAGAAAGACTAAGGAGGAACCTACACGGAGGAATGAGGATGGGGATTCTCCAACCTCCAAGGCGAAGAAATCGCCATCATAGATTTTTACAGGCTTGTTGCCAGCATTTTTTTGGCAGTTGATCAATGAGTCTCCTCTCAAAAGCACCTCTTGCTTCATCTCACTTCGCATTACCAAGATATCACTCGAGTAGCCGCATCATAAAAAATAATGAGATAGCAGGTCTATAAAAACCGCATTTACCTGTTCAAATCTTCTCTTTTTTTATTTTAATTTCCCATTCCGTCTATTTTGTGACCCTTTGATATCATAACCTCATCCGTTCAACCCCATTTTCTTTTCTTCCATACTGCACTTAGTCGCTGGCCTTGTACTTGAGACGGTACTCCTCAGTTCGCTTGATGTCGTCCTCTGAAGCAAAGCTCTTCATACCAGCAATGATATCATCGAGGGTCAAGATAGCAAAGATGGGAATGCCATACTCCTTTCGCAACTCGCCAATGGCACTGGGGCCGGGCTTGGACTCATCACCATCGGTAGCAGGGAGCTTCTCCATGCGGTCGAGAGCAACGACAATACCAACAACGATACCACCCTCCTTTCGGATCTTGTCGATAGCCTCACGCTTGGCAGTTCCAGCAGTGATGACATCGTCGACGATGAGGATCTTCTTTCCCTTCAGAGGCGCACCGACAATGTTACCGCCCTCACCGTGGTCCTTGGCCTCCTTGCGATCGAAAGAGTAAGAAACACGGTCGAGGTTCTCGGGGGCGATCTCGCCGAGCTTGACAGCGATGGAGGAAGCAAGAGGAATGCCCTTGTAAGCGGGGCCGAAGATGATATCGAACTCAAGGCCGGTCTCTTTCTGAGCCTCAGAGATAGACTTGGCGAAAGCAGTAGCAATGGCACCGGCGAGACGGGCAGTGTGGAAGAGGCCGGCGTTGAAGAAGTAGGGTGAGATGCGCTTTGACTTGAGCTCGAAGCTGCCAAACTTGAGGATCTCGCCAGCGATGGCGGCCTGCAAGAATTCTTGCTTGTAGGGGGCGAGTTGAGAAGACATGGTTATTTATGTGGTTATATGAATTTCGTTTGAAGTCAAGATTGGGAGTGAATGTTTTCTAAAGCAAAGTTTGCGATCCCCTCTTGTACGTCTCTCTAAGTGGTGTTGAGCCCGGAGCCGGCCTTGGACCCTTTTGGTGGTTCAATGTATGGCGGCGGGGTTGAGGTGGGGGAGATGTAGATAAAGAAGTACCTACCTAGGTACCTACCTACAGTACCTTACCATATAAAAGTTCGGTTAGCAGAGAGAGCAGGGAAACGAGTATATCAACCCAGGATTTTATGTTCTATACAATGTAATTATCCTCACTAAACATTCAATTAAGGAATCAGTAGCATTATAGAAACAGTATTATATCCTTTCAGACCATCACCACTCTCCTAGAGCTGAGACGGCCGAGTCCATCACACAAAAAGTGACTTCTCTCTTATCGATAAGAAATCAGACTGACCGCCACGACCCACTAAGAAAAAATATTCGATCCAACTAAATTTTGCCATCTCTGATACCTCTTCTTCGAGTGACGAGCGACACTTTCTCTCTCCGTCCGTCTCTATCCTTTTTGATACCCCCCAGAAACAAATCCAACTCCTAAAAATAAAAATACCAGATCGCCCAAGATGAAGACGACCTGGAAGGATATCCCCCCGGTGCCTACTCAGCAGGAGTTTCTGGATATTGTTCTGAGCCGGACCCAGCGCAAGCTGCCAACGCAGATTCGCGCCGGTTTCAAGATCAGCCGTATTCGAGGTTTGTGACTTTTGTCTCGTCTCGCCACCATCAGGATCGCAATCGATCACTAACATTGATCACCTCGATAGCTTTCTACACTCGAAAGGTCAAGTTCACACAGGAAACCTTCTCAGAGAAGTTCGGCGCCATTCTCGAGAGTTTCCCTCGTCTGCAGGACATCCACCCTTTCCACAAGGATCTCCTCAACACCCTCTACGATGCCGACCATTTCAGAATCGCTCTCGGTCAGATGTCCACCGCCAAGCACCTGATTGAGACCATCTCCCGCGATTATGTCCGTCTCCTCAAGTACGGCCAGTCTCTGTTCCAGTGCAAGCAGCTCAAGAGGGCCGCTCTTGGTCGCATGGCCACCCTCATTAAGCGACTCAAGGACCCTCTTATGTACCTCGACCAGGTTCGCCAGCATCTCGGACGTCTGCCCTCGATCGACCCCAACACTCGAACACTGCTTATCTGCGGTTACCCCAATGTTGGAAAGTCTAGTTTCCTCAAGAGCGTTACTCGCGCCGATGTCGACGTTCAGCCCTATGCTTTCACCACAAAGAGTCTGTTTGTCGGTCACTTCGACTACAAGTATCTCCGCTTCCAGGCCATCGATACCCCCGGTATTTTGGACCACCCTCTTGAGGAGATGAACACCATTGAGATGCAAAGTATCACCGCCATTGCCCATTTGAGATCCGCCATTATGTACTTTATGGATCTTTCAGAGCAGTGCGGATACACAGTTAGCGCCCAGATTGCTCTCTTCAAGAGCATCAAGCCTCTGTTCTCCAACAAGCTTGTCTTCGTTGTTATCAACAAGATTGACGTCACCCGACCCGAGGACCTTGAGCCCGAGGTTCAGGCTGAGCTCCAGAGCATCCTCAAGTCTGGTGAGGTCGAGATGCTCCAATTGTCTTGCAACACTCAGGAGGGTGTTCAGGAGGTCAAGAACGCTGCTTGCGAGCGCTTGATCGCTGAGCGTGTTAACCAGAAGCTCAAGGCTGGTACCAACAGCAGCGGAAACATCGGTGGCCGTCTGGCTGATGTTATGTCCCGCATCCACGTTGCTCAGCCCATGGGTGGTCAGACTCTTGAGACTTTTATCCCCGAGGGTGCCAAGGACCGCAAGAAGTATGACAAGACCGACCCCGAGCGCCGAAGACTCGCTCGTGATGAGGAGGAGGAGAACGGTGGTGCTGGTGTCTTCAACGTCGACATGAAGGCCGACTACATGCTCGCCAACCCCGAGTGGAAGTACGACAAGATCCCCGAGATCTACGATGGCAAGAACGTCTACGACTTTGTCGATCCCGATATTGAGGCTAAGCTTCAGGCTCTTGAGGAAGAGGAGGAGAAGCTCGAGGCTGAGGGCTTCTACGAGTCTGATGAGGACATTGAGGATGATGAGGAGGCTGAGGTCATGCGCAAGGCCGAGCTGATCCGCGAGAAGCAGCAGCTCATCCGCAACGAGGCCCGCATGAAGAAGCGTCTCAAGAACCAGGCCATCATCCCCCGCAAGCAGATGAAGAAGCCCCTCTCCGAGTTCGAGGATGCCCTCGACCAGCTCGGTGTCGACACCACCGATATTGCCGAGCGTGCTCGCTCAAAGTCTCGTCCTCGTGGCCGTTCCACATCTCGCATGGCTACCGAGGACCCGGATGCCATGGATGTCGATGGTGGCCGCAGCAGCACTCCCCGCGAGCGTATGCGCTCTATGAGCCGACCTCGAAGCCGTGCTCCTACTACCAGCCGTCGCGACGATGGTGTCACAGACGAGGCTACTCGATCCAAGGCCGATCGTATCGCCAGGCTCAACCAGAAGCGCATGAACCGCATGGCCCGACAGGGAGAGGGCGATCGACACACGACCGCTTCCATCACCAAGCACTTGGTGAGTTTTGTTCCCACCCATATGTATCTCAGAACCGTAACTAACAAATCACTTTCAGGTCGTCGGAAAGCGTGGTATGGGCAAGACAAACCGCAGATAGAGAGCCAACACCAGGCTTCCCTTTCTTCCACCACATTTGGTTGTCTTTCTCTCTTTTCCGGCATATTTTCGCGGGTTCGTGGGCTGTGGGTTTGCCTGGGAGTTTGGGCGCATAGGAAAATGGATTGCGATTCCTTCGCTGCGTACGTACGTGCTTGACAAGAAGAAAATAGCTTGTGTGTCGCGTTGTTGCTTGGGATGAAGAAGCTCTGTCCGAGTTCAGCTTGATAGTAGATATCACGGCGCCTCCTTGAGAAGTACTAGAAAAGGGGCTGCCAAACTTTTCTTTTCTTCTCTTTTAACAGATCATGATTTATGAAGCATATAAAAAGTTTCAATCAAATTTCATATCATCCACCCAAAATATTATTATTTGTGTATACAGTTCAAAAATATTCATTTGACTTGTCGTGTGAGATGCTATCGAAAGAGGTATAATGAGATTGTGCCCAAGACGCACCATCGGTATCGGCCAATCTTCTGAAAAAGCAAAACAATCCTCCTACCCTGCCCGCTCTGTTACAGTGGTGTGGCCTTGTTACTCTTTTATCCTATTTGCTAGGAAGGTTCGCTGAGATTCTTTACTGCTCCTCGGCAACCTGGATACCTTCCCTCAAACCCTCAACCTTGAGCTCCTCCCCGGTGGCGCGGTGGTAGATGTCCTTGACGTCGTCGGTGGTGGTCTCAAAGTGGCTAGTGGCATCATAGCTCTTGGAGATGAAGATGTTATCCTTGGTGCCATCCTCAAGAGGCTCATAGATGGGAATGGGGGGACCCTGGAGATTGTTAGCGTGTATCTTCGTATTTCAACCCAGGTAACTTACCATGAACTGCTCCTCAATCTTGCCAAGGCGGTCGAGACCAGCCTGGAGCTCAACGTGGTGGTTAGCTGATGTCTCGGCAATAGTCGAGACAATGGCGATCCAGTAGCCCTTGGGGCAGACGTTGTGGGCGGAAGAAACGCAAGCAATATAGACGTCTAAACACAAATGTCAGCAACTATATAGGATCATCAGAATCGGAATTATTACCGTTCTTTCGGCCAACCTGAGACTGGGGAATGATGAGCTGGGCAGAGTCGGCGTCGTTGGTACCAGCGAGAGGGTGCTTCAGAATGCAAATAGCTCGGAGGACGTGGCCGACAACCTTGGCCTTGTTGGGGAAGTAGGAGGGGTCACCGAGGATCATCTTGGCCTTGGTCTTGAACTTCATCTCCTCAACACCAGTCATGGTCGCCTCGATGCCAACAGCCTTGTCGCCGTCGTACTGGATCTCGTCGATGTTGGTGTTGAGCATGTAAGTACCGCCGTAGATGGCAGACAGACGGGCGAAACCTTGGGGAAGCTCGCCAAGACCGTAAAGAGGGTAGATGTAAGGAGACTTTCCGTATCGGGCAACAGAGTTACCGTACAGGCGGATTCGCTGGATGGCCTCGGGAGCCTGGCCAGGGGTGGTGATGTAGTCGTCGGTGAGGTAGAGAGCCATGGCGTGGCCAATGAAGTCCTTGGTGGTGGTCTCGAGGCCGAACTTGTCATAGACGTCCTTCATGGTGCACTTGTTGATATCAAGGCCTAGACAGAGGATTATCGGTCAGCAAATTGTCGAATTTCGCAAGATTATCTTCTTTGCGCATCTCCTTGGAAAACGTACCCTTGTGTGTCGCAGGGTCCTTGATGTCGAAAGTGCCAACCCACTCAATGAAGGACTTCATGCGTCGTTTCTCGAAGATGCCCATGAGAGGAGATCGCAGAGCCTCAGCGGCATCAGATGGCACCTTGGCGACGGTAGCCTTGTTGGAGGCACCCTGCTGGACGTAGCTGCCAGCGACTTGCTTGAACTCGAGGTACCGTGTAACATCGGTAGAAACGAGAATATTGGTCAATTCGCCGGAGGACATGAGGAACTTGGGGACAAGGTCGATGTTCCAGTCGTTGAGGCGGCCATATTGCTTCCAGGGCTCCTCGCCTTCGCGGAAGTTTCCGTACTTCTTGAAGAGCTGTATTCTGTTGTTAGATATCGGTCTGGCAAGATATAGAGATCGGGAGGTTTAGGCTAGGGTTGCGTACAGTCTCGAGGTTCACGGAAGCTGCCTCACTGGGACACAGTTAGCTTTTTGTTTATAGAAAAGTATTTGCATTTAGAAAGAGACTTACCCGCCATAGTGATCATTGCGGTCGATGTGGAGGACCTTCTTGCCCTTGACACTCAGAACACTGTTGAAGCACAATTAGCCATCACCGCCTTTACACATCATGTGCTATACCGCCTTGCAGCTTGCGCAGATCCGTAGCGGCCTTTGCAACACGAGGAAGCGGTCAAAATGGATGCAGTTTGTCTTACCCAGAAAGAATACACTCGGTCAATCCTAAAAACAGTCAGCATCCGCTTGGGAATACAACAAGTCGGCGGCATCAAGCCAAAGCTCTCTGATGCGGGGGATCCGCCTTGTGGTGGCAGAAACAGGCGAGGAGGGGGAACAAGAACGTACCAGTGCCCAGCACGATGACGTCGTATTCAGGAGCAATCTCATCCATGATGGCTATTCTCTGGTGTTGATATTCGATGGGCCTTTAGGTGGAATGATAGAGAGATAGGGAGTAAGAACAGAGAAAAGAACAGAGGCGGAATAGGATAAAATGGAAGAAGCGAGGACGAGACGGGGAGGGTCGAGAAGCTTGAGGGGAGGTGCGGTCTAGTGGCGGGGTCAGTCCCATTTACCTTACCTTTTACCTTAGGTACATACTTTACCTTTCCTTTCCTTTTCTCAGGTAGGGGATCAACTACAACTAAGGTACCTACAGCCTAGCTTCAGTGTGGGGACAGTCTGAGTGTGAATATGGTTGACGCCTCTAACAGCCAACGTCTTACCCAATTCATGCCATTCTAATCTCACATATTCTCGCCTACAATATCAAATTACATTAAGATGAACACATACAACAAGTTTTGCTGCTGTTGGTCTCTTAGAAAGCCCTTCAACCCCTAATTCCCCCTTCCATCGTGGTCCGCTTCATTATCAAATTTAGCTTAGCAGCCAGATCAATATAAGAGCCCCAGCCACGACCCCAGTATCATCAATGGTTTATTACTATTAGCATATTGAAGACAGGGTCTCTCGGTCGTATCTCCTTTCTTTGCCCCCAACTGTTGGCCTCCATATTGTTACATCTGTGTTTCTAGTTTCTACTCATCTTGGTGGAGCGACCCTTTTCGTGAGGTAGCAAGAGCTTGACTTATACGGCATCCAAGCTCATTACTGTGTTAGGATACGAAGTCAAGGAGCTTAATATGACTACAGCTCTCATACGCTTAAGATTTTCATTACGGCTTGAGTTCGTAATCTACGTTGTTTGCTACCACCAATCTTGACTCATCATATGTATTCATGTCAACAGCTCCTGGAGCCCGTATGCTCGCATATACATGTTTGTTTCGTCTACTGTATCTTACATATCCTAGATGTACACGACGAATATGTCAACCTGTCCCTAATCAGGCATCGTAAGCCACCACCACCTATCCCATCACTTCAATAGTACATGACGTCGTCTCGCTTGTGACAGTTTTTTTATTGCTTCTTCAGCTCCTTCTCGATCTTGGCCTCCTGTGCTTCTGTGGCTACAGGATCAATCTGCTTGGCCGCCTCTGACTCGGCCTCTGGTTGTGTCCACTCAGCAACATCAACTTCATCTTCATATGCCGATGGTGTATAGACTTGCCCTTCCGCGCCCTCGAAGTTGATCTCCGGGTCGCTCATGGCGACACCGACGGCGTCTTGCCATGTGTAATATCGCTCCGTCAAGACGTGCTTGATGGCTCGCTGTGTCTTGAGGACCTTTCTTCAATGTCAGCTTCCCGCATATTATATCAATTCGGATCATCTTACCTCCTCGTCTCGAGTATCAATCTCTCGCTCACCGAATCCCAGCTTGGAGCGGATGAGCTCTTGCCTTGATGTAGATAGCATGTTCCTCTCTCGGCAACACACCCACCACAAAGAGTGTAGATCTTCCCACGACTTCTTTCGCAGCTCCTCGACAGACCACGCACGTCCATGCTCCTCAGTCTCTTTGGGCGTTGCCAATGCCTTTCCTTGTGCTGGGAAAAATCCCCACAGACCATGATCAGGGTCGACCTTGATCCTGGGCTTGAACTGTCGTGGCTTCGGCAGCGGGATATTTGACATTGACAGAGGCTCGCGAGGTCCTGATCCATACAGACTACTCACACCTCGCTTGGGGTTGTTGTCTTTTGTCTTTCGCTTGCATTGTGGTGCGGTCGTGGAGAAGTAGGCGACTCGTGATGTGGTGGCGGAGGCCTTTGATGATGAAGCCTGGACGAGACGACCGGCCAATGGCCGTATCGTACTAGGAGCTGCCATTGACATTATCGTGCCTATCGTGGGGATTAGACGAGGCTATTCACTATCCAGCTCGTCCCACGCATTCGCAAAATTTGGGATGCCGTAGCTCGCGGAGCCTCGGGTGCCGGCGTTACGTTGTGCCGACGTCAAGTATAGTCACGTGCTCTGCCGGACCACATACAACCTCACCGAATCTCACCTGCAGCCTCACCGAGCCTTACCAAGAGATGGATCTCAACAGTGGGTTCGCTGGGACAGGCGCTTGCAGAAGCACGGATACCAAAGTTTGGTACAATGTACATGGTGTTTTGGGGTGGGTGATGCGGGGGAATACTCCAGATGCCCCATCTCATAGCCATCTTCTAGAACAAAGCAATTGTTGCCAGTTCCTGACTAGGACCTAGGACGACCACCAAGAGCCACATCAAGGATGCGGGGAGAGATCCATCACCAGGAATGGGCAAGGCATGAAGTTGCTAACATCATCTTGGGCTCCACGTCTGGAGATCACCGCCGGTAGAACATGCGCCATCCATGGTTGTTTGATACTACTGCGTCACCAAGAGTTTCAGGTTTCAAGGAAGTATAACAGAAAACAAAAGTATAAGAAACACATATGTATGACATCCTTCAAACCT